CTGAATTTGTTAATTTGCATGTTCTCGCTCTCTGCTGTTTGGTAACTTTGGATAAAGGTTTGTCTATCGTGTTGATTTTCTCGAAGAACCAACTCTTCATTATATTGATTCTTTGTATAGTTCTCCTAGTTTCCACTTTATTGATTTCAGCCATCAATTTGATTATTTCCTGGCGTCTCTACAAATGTTCTAGTTTCCTCTTTTATCATGCCCGATTGTTCATTTGACTGCCTTACTTCCCCTGTCCTCTCATTAGCTGTTCACTGCAGAGAATGAATTGAGACCCTGACAGGCAGACCCTGCTTAGGACATCTTGCCAAGATTCCTGACTACCCCCAGAGCCACCACTGACACTATCAAGTGAAGAACTGTGTGTGAAGGCAGCAGGTAGAAGGTGAAAAAGACCCCAAAGACAAGAATTTCACTTATGAATTCAACCTTACAATCTGGACATACTGATAAGAAAAGCCAGATTTACCATAAAGCTTAAAACTTCAAACAAAGTTTGATAAGTATCACCACCCTAGACCTATTCCTGGTCTACATAACAGAAATTCATTCTTTCCATGTATGGACCAGCAGACACCTCATTAAAGGTAGTAACTGTCCCTGGAGACCCGTGGTCCTCACAGTGCCTGTCACCCCCACAGGAGTCACAGAAACATAAAACCTCAGGTACCACCCAAGCTGAGCAACCAGAAGCTCTGGAGGTAGAAGCCAGCAGTTTGTTTGAAAAGACCCCCCAGAAAACTAACTCCCATGCATGCTCACTATGCACCTCTGTGATAAAACAGACTGCTAGTAACTGAAATTAGATTTGGTTATCAAATCCTGTAGTTTCTCCTAGGGGCCAAATGTTGACAAATTCAAAGAATTCAGACAGGAAACAAACACTGAGCTTCAGAACTCAGAACTGCAGTTGCAATTGTTCTTCCTTTGTTAGAAATTGGCCAGTGTCTCCTTTTGACCAGTAGTAATAGAGAATAATGCAGAGCTTTTGGAAGTCATTTGTTTCTGATCTCTGGATAAGGTGATCAATAAAAGAATTTTCCTCTGTGTATCAAAACAGTACATTTATGTCTCCTAATGTAAAAGGGTTTACTCCTAGAACTGCTTTTTGTTTTGGTTTGGTTTTTGTTAAATCAAGCCAGGTGAAGATAATATTAGCATGTCATCAATAAACAAATCTTTTTACATTTTTAATGAGATATTTATCATTCTGAGGAAAGATTAGAGTTTTTTTCTAAACCTAGCAATGTCCTACTATTATAATAATATCATGTGTTTGTGGTTGCTGACAAGTAGACTTCATTGACACACAGTGCTTCTCTTTAACATGTGGATGATGGTAATACCTGTGTTTTTGTTTTTTGTTTATAGTCCAAACTGGGTTATCTGACCCTGGTCTTGTGCACAGCCCACACTTTGGTGTATGGTGGAAAGAAATTCCTCAGCCCTGGGATCCTAAGGTGGAGCCTTCCTTCAGCCTATATCTTAGCCCTCATCATCCCGTGCACAGTGCTGGTGATGAAACTCATCCTCATAATGCCATGCGTAGACAAGACCCTCACGCGCATCCGTCAGGGCTGGGAGAGGGACTCACAATACTCAAAATCAGCACTGAATGGAAAATCAGACATTTAGAACAAAGATGAATTCGTGGCAATTTCTCAACTCCTGTAGCAGATGTTTGGCTATTAAGTGAAGGAAGTGTCTTCTGACTTTGGAAGCGAGCACCCACTGCTGCCTCTTGTTTGAGGACTCACTCCTGGCCTCCCTGGCTTCCTTTCCCAGGAACCCTGGGGCTGCCACTGTGATTCGCTTTGCGGTTTCACACTATGAGACCTCTTAACTATGGGCAACATGCATGATGTAATGTTTTGCAAAATGCTGGGCAAGTGTATGCAACTTCCTTCTCTAATTCAAGGGCTAAAGTAAGTGGGGGGAAAAGGAACTCTGATGGACATCCTAAAGGTGTCACTTGCCATGACTAAAGAAGAGGCCCAGATGAAGTAAAAGGAAGAAGGCTTTGTTTTTGTAAGGAGTGGTGATCTTAAGTAGTGTCATACTAATCTGGGGGTATGTTGGTTTAGGTGTAGCAGTGAGCATCAAGCCTAGGGCCTTATGCATAGGAAGCAAATGCTATGTTACTGAGCTACACCCCAGCCCTGCCATGGTGACTATGGAGTCATTTGCCCCCTTTGATTTTGTTTTTACCAATATGGATACTTACTGTGGGGAAATGCTTTTACAAAACACCAAAAATATCTTGATTGGTTTAAAGTAACCATTCCTTGAATACAGAGCGATCTATGTAGTTATCCCAAGATTCTCCCTCTACAAGGAATTGGTTGAATCTGTCTAAGAGTAGAGAGATAAAGTCTGGGTGAGAGTGGAGAGATCCATTGGATTTTTCAATGTGCAATAAGCAAGGGAAGGATTGGTAATGACCTTGTGCAAAAAATGTCAAATAAGCCATAATTGTAGCTAGTAAGCTAAGCAAATACTATGAAGTTTCACTGTGCTTTTTGGTATTATTGAGTGATTGTGGTATGGTTTGTGCATTATATAGTCTAAATACTGTCCAATATTAGGCACCTGTGAAGTCAATTTCTAGTATAAAGATATAGCTTCCAAAATCTGTCTTTGTGATAGTTTTGAGGGGTGAAGTTCTAAAGAAATTATCTGAAGCTGTTGGTGTGCTAAAAGCATAGCTGACAAAACTGTGGGATGCTGGGAAGAGCAGCACTGATGGGAGGCAGCCAGCTCTGCCTTCCTGTGTGGATAGTGCCTTCCCAAGGTGACCTTTAGCAGGCTCTGTATCCTAGCTCTAGCCTGGAGCTAAAAGGAGATTATTGCACAGTCTTCCCACATGTCACTGAAATAACTAAAAGGCATTGGGTTTGACATTTTTCTGTCTAATCTACAAAAGCTGTTTATTTTTCATTTTGTTGGCTCTTATTATCACAGATCATACATGATATCATACATTGCTCACCATCCAAAGTTTTTTTTTATATAAAGCTTGTATTATATAAAAACGGACATTTCTTTTACTATTGCTGTAATAGAACATGTAAACCATATCCAGTTTTTGTTAAAATGACAATTGAGGTAATGTCTTTGTACTAACAACATATTTCTATGTTTTCAATGATTTCCTCAAAATGTTTTCTAAGAGTTAATAATATAAAATTAAAGAATATTTGGTAACATTTGCTGCATTGCCAGTTTCTAATGCGACTTTCTCAATTCCCTTGGCATACCATTACAGGTTTGAGATTTGACTTCAATTTGTGTTTTCTTATAAATAGCTATAAAGATTTGGAGACTATGCTCCTGTAAATTGCCTTTGAAGAGCCCATGCAAGGATACCAAGAGCTGAAGAACTCTGTCAACCAGGGTATGGGGGACAGACCCTGGGACATCAGTGGAGATGAAAGGAAACGAGGCCCCATGTTGCACAGAACAACCAATTGTGGCCGGGCTGACCAGAGCACTGCCTGATTAAAGCTGAAGCACCATCAGTTTGGTCTAGGGAGGTATTTGCAGTCAACCACATTCCCATTTTGGTAGGGGCCATCAAATAATAAAATAAAATAGAAAACGCCACACCTAAGTATATGTAGTGAAAACGTACTGAACGCTTTGTAATCTGTTGAAGATGGTGTCTCTAGGAACTTAATACAAGCAGCCATCAAGCCTGAAATCAGAGCCCCAGTGGCTTTGGCACAATAGTTGCCTGACTTTTGTCCATGACTATGAAGGTGCTGTGGGCCACCAGGAAAAAGCCGCCCCCCTCCTTCCCGACACCATCCCCCATGACTCAAGTCTGTGAACAAATCTGGCCACGTTAACAGCTGGAAAGAATGAAGTTAGGTCATATGGGAATGGGTGATTTGAGTGAACTGTATTTCTGTTTTTCTTTTCTGTTTTTTCCTTTTTAAATTTGGTGTTGCTTTGCTTTTATTGTAACTGTGCCCTGGTTCTTCCCTCTCTTTTTCTTTCTTTTCATTTATTCTATGTGTATTTTGCATCATGTATCTTGATCCCATTCATTTCCCCATCCCTTTGCATTTTTCCTCTGCCCCACCCCCCCAAGAAAAATAAAATGAAATTTAAGAGAAAAGAGAAGAAAAACAAAAAGGGAAAATTAAAAATCTAGTCATGAGTCACACTGTAAACCCATTTGTCCAAGTATCTTTACTTGCCAAGTGTTCAATGCAGAGTCATCAGTCTGGTGCAAGGCCTCTGGTTTCTACACTATTGATACTGGGCCTTCACTGGGACTCTTCTTGGATATCCTGCTGCCCTGTGTTGAGGAGACCCTACAGCTTTGGGTCTGTGGGTCAGGTACCTTCATGTGCTCCAGAAGATCATAGATGGAGTAGGGCCTGGGCCTGGGCTTTTAACAGAACTGTTCTGCATAAAAATGTTATGCTGGAGCGGTATGGTGACTGTAGCTATAGCCTCAGCACTTGAGAGGTGGAGGCAGGAGGATCAAGAGTTCAAAGTCAGTTGGGAAGAAAGTGGATAGAAACCTAGGATTGAACAGAAGAGGAGGTCTTATCTTCTAAAGCACATAGGTTGAAGAAAAATGAAATTCTTCTTTATCAAGACAGAGTGAAAGATAAACATGAGAATTCATCCACATAATCCCCCCCTAGGAAAAGACAAAACCCATCCGTGTCATAGCATTTCTTCACTGTTTAAAAAAGAGAAGGGGGTCAGCCTAACCTGCACACTACCTTATCTTAAAGAAAGAATGCAGAAATAAATAAATGAAAAAAAGAAAACTGCATCAAGCTTCATTTCTTCTGGAGTGTTTCTTGTATTCCAGAAAAAAAATATCAAATTCACAAACACTTATTTTATATTCTTTTATATTCTTATTTTATATGTCATTCCAATAAATGGCAATTGTCATAAATATGTAATCATTACACATTAAAAATATTGTCTAGTTTTATTTAATTCTGGTTTTGACTCATTAGAGAATATAACTGAAAGATCTTGAACCACAGTCGTTACAGCTCCTGGAACTAAAACTACTTGCTTTCTAGGATAAGGTAGGGGAGAGGTGGGTGGGTTTGAAGCGGATGCCCGCATCTGCAGTTGGTGCAGTGCATTTCAGCATTCCTCAGGAGTATCGCTGTAGCCCGCAGGGGCACCGGCTGGCTAGCTCAAAGGAAGATAATCTTATTCTTCCCTGGGCTTCTGTGAGAATTAGAAAAAGATGTTTTCCTTCTCCGGGCAGACGCCACCAGAACAGGGCTGATGGCTTGACAAGCGGGCTTCACGTTGGATTCAGACTGCATGACCCAGTATTAAATGCCTCGAACAGTGGACAACTGAAGCTTTCAAAACTGACAAGGAAGGGGCTGGAAACCTGCAGTAAACTAGAAACAAATGCAGCAGCCCCAGGCTGAAACCCATTTTGATTAGAAATTCACCAAGAGCTCTTACTACCCCAACTGCTCAGGGAATCACAAAAGAGCCGAGATAATGATGAAGGTTTATAATAACACTTTGAACCTCTCGACTTTAAAAGATTCTGGACATCATCTGAAGACCCGAGAGGAAGGAGGTTGTGGTTTTCAGTCTCTTGACACAGCCATCGTCCCCTGGCCACTACCCAAACATACCGAGTGTGCCCATACACATTTCCTTCAGGACCCTATTCTAATTTCATATACTGAAGGTTGCAATCTACAAAAAAGCCTCCACACCTCTAAAGATGTGTTTGGTAGAATTTAGGAAAAGACAGTAGTTATTATTCTTTCCTTGCCTCTCCTCCAGCTCAAGCGGAGACCCTGAGCTCAGACGAGACCCGAGTAAACCAGGGATGGCTCCTTGCCGAAGAAAGTGTGGAGAAGCAGGAAGGCAGCCAAGACAGAAACACCCAGTACTACTTCCTGTTCCAAGGGAATCTTGGAAGGTGTTGTGTGGTGTTTATTGCATAACATTGTGAGCAGATTCTGTACTGTTATGGCATGTAAATTTTCTTACCTATTCCATATAAAGATTCTCTGAAATACTCCAGTTAGAAACATAAACAACCAGAACCAAACCTTCCCCCACGCCTTGCTTTCGTGAGTCGATGAGGCTTTGGAAGGACACCCCGGCCACGAGGGGTTCGGTTACACTGAACTTTTCCTCCGCGCTGGTGAGGTAGACAGTGAAAAAGAACGAAACACTGCCTGTGACTGGCCGTTAAGGCAGAGCAGTAGAATCTGCTGGGTCGTAGGATCACATGGAATTCAACAGCCTACAGTGCAAAAGGTCCATGATGCTGGAGTACTAAAGCGCCACCTGTCTGCGCCCCTTGGACAATCGCTAGAAAATTCTCATTTGTAGCTAACCCAAGTTTTCCTATTTGTGTTTCTATCCATTTTTATCAGTGTTGCTGCTTAAGTTAAGAGAACGGCAGGTTTTTTTTTCCCCTTATTTTCCACCAGATCTCACAGACTGATATGTCTGAAAAAAAAAAAAAAAAAACTCCCACACTTAAATACTATGGCAACATCAAATTTCCATAAAATAATTTCCATCTGCAAGACAGTGGTCAGAGGAGGCCTCTCCTGAGACACGGGCTTGGTGGGAATGGTTTATTATGGGAGATAAATCATCCAGTGCTGGGAAGA